TCACTCTGGGGCAGGTGTGAAGACAGTAGACTGATCACTCTGGGGCACGTGTGAGGACAGTGGACTGATCACTCTGGGGCAGGTGTGAGGACAGTATACTGATCACTCTGGGGTTGTTGTGAGGACAGTGGACTGATCACTCTGGGGCCGGTGTGAGGACAGTGGACTGAGTGATCACTCTGGGGCAGGTGTGAGGACAGTGGACTGAGTGATCACTCTGGGGCAGGTGTGAGGACAGTGGACTGATCACTCTGGGGCAGGTGTGAGGTCAGTAGACGGACTGATCACTCTGGGGCCGGTGTGAGGACAGTGGACTGAGTGATCACTCTGGGGCTGGCGTGACTTGGTTGTCACTGTGGCGCAGGAGTTAGGAGAGGTTGTCCGTTGCGTGCCATCTGAGTAGCACCCAGTAGCTGCTCCCTGTGAGGTGGTGATCAACCCTGTTTCACACGTTAACTCCGTGGCACCGATTTGTCATAAGGACTCACGGGAGCTGAATGCTGGTCCATGCTGTTAGGGACCTCTCCCTGAGGGTCCTGTGGCCCGCTTTTGTGTTCCTGGGTCTTCGCACAGTGTGCTCCTGACCTGAACTGGTGTGGTGGACCTGCCTACACCCATGAACTGGACTCGTAGGTCTTTTCTTGTCTTTCTAGCAACCTGTCATGGCTGCCTGTGACAGGAGCACTTCCCCTGACCTGGAGATGGTCCTGGCCTGAGACAGCACTAAATGCTTCTCCTCAGCCCCTGTTCACTTGTATGGGTGGCCTTGCTCAGGTCCTCCTTGTGCAGAGCCCCTACCCCTGCAATCTGTCTAGGGGAGAGGACTGACCCCTGCCTTGCTGGATAAATGCTCTTTTACTGAGCTGCATCTCAGCCTGTGTAGCGATCCTGACCAGGCCAGGACCCGCAGGTGCATACAGGTATCTTTTCTGTGGAGGACCTGAAGTGCCTCCCAGTGGGGAGGCAGCCTGGGCTGGCCGGCGAGCAGGGAGGTGGGGGAGAGCTTGATTCTGGCAGTGCACGCCGTGACGTACAGCCAGGCCCGGGCTGTGAGAGGCACTTCGGAGTGCTAATGGTGCTTTTTCCTCTTTTCTCCTAGTGTGCGTTTTAATACAGAACTTGTCACTTTCCAGAATGCCCTTTAAAGGTGACCCTGTCATAGGTAAGTGCTTTTCTTTTCAAGAGTGTATATAGGATTTTCTTATACAACTTCTTCAAGTTACAAAATAAAAAGTGAGGCTGCTAGCATGGGCTTAGAAGGTCACAGTGTAGAAGGCCTGTCTTGGAACCACTTTGAGGTCCTGTGGCCGGAGGTCCCTTTCTTGTCCCCTGCCCAGCACCCCGCTGTGGCTCAGCCTGTCACAATGCACCCAGCACCACGGTTATGGCCCTGGTGGACCCCTGAGGACCTGGTGACAGAATGCCGGGGTCAGGGCCGGGGCTCCAAGCAGCAGGCGCCCCAGCCCGGACCTGCCTTGCCCTCCAGCCTGATGTCACTAGGTTTTTGTTTCTTAGCTTATTAGAGTAAGCATCCTCTGCCTCCTCCCAACTCACTGTAGTTGAGTTGAATATTCAGGTTAACATGGGTGGAGACCAGGTGTGAGCTAGGAAGAGACCCCTTGAAGCTTTACACGCGTTTCTCCTGCCTCCGCCTGGCGTGCAGCAGCGTCCAGCAGTCTCTCCTGGCGTCCTGTACCCGGGGGAGCCTGTGGACTCTGAGCAGTCTGCAGCGCTCACTCGGGCCTCTCTGTCCCTCCCAGAGGGGCTATCTGCTTAAATACAACTGAGTGTTCTGAGTTTGGTAAGTGACCATCTTTTTGTCTTTGGCAGATGGCTGGCAGTGGCTGATAGATGACACTCTGAGAAGTCTCTACCTTATTTCAACCCAGTCTAGACAGCAGATCAAGGTGTGCTGGGCACGAGCCCCGTCTTACCTGCACGGCAGGTGGCACAATGCATCGCGAGCCCTATTTGGGCCATCAGTGTCATCCTTACATTTGGAATTTGGCATGGGCCTGCTGCCAGGTTTATAATCAGGAAGCCGCAGTCGCCTCTAGTGACCAGAATGCTGACTTTTTTTTTGGTCAGTCGTGGGGCTTGAACTCTGGGCCTGGGCTCTTTAGCTCAAGGCCAGTGGTCTACCACTTGAGCCACGCAGCTCCACTTCCAGCCTTTTGGTGGACCCGCTTGTGTGGCCTTGCGCCATCTTGTTCTGCCCTGGCTGGTCTCTCCTCATCCTCGCCCCAGGCTCTCTCTTGTTCCTAAGGCCCCAGGGACCCTGCGGTCCCCTCTGTGAGGCCCTGTGCCGCTCAAGCGAGCCTACCTCATCCCTGCAGTGCTTCCAGCGGGAAGGAGAAGAGGGGTGCTTCATTTTATTATTCGCCCGGTCATAGAAGATGGGGAGCTGGGGCTGGGATGGTGGCTCAGGGGTAGAGCGCTGGCCTTCCATGCCTGAGGCCCTGGGTTCCATTCCTCAGCACCACATAAGAAAAAAGAAAAAAGCCCAAAGTGGCGCTGTGGCTCAAGTGGTAGAGCGCTCGCCTTGAGCTGAAGAGCTGAGGGACAGCACCCAGGACCAGAGTTCAGGCCCCACGACCGACCAAAAAAAAAAAAGAAGATGGGGAATTAACACTTTTTGGAAGAAATAACCAAATTCTGTTTTTTTTTTTTTTTAAACAAGTACAGCAAATTTAACGTGATCACTGTGTCTGATAGATGTCAAAGAATATATATATATATATATATATGAAAGAAAGGTTATAATTTGGTAAAAGGTGGAAAATTTATACTCTTGAAGAAAACCAGAGTATGGGAGTGACATGATTTAAACATCGTCACTGCTTAGACATCAGAAGGACCCTGGTACCTCAGCCAGGCACTTCACTGCAGAGCTCTGTACACTGTTGTCCTCTGTTTCAGGACGCCGCTGTTTCGGCCCTAGCTGCTCTTTCCAGAGAATACTACAGGAAGGATCCTAGGGAGGCGGGTCCTGCTGTTGCTGGTGAGTGAGCTGAGGGGCCAGCCCCAGTTGTGGAGCTGCAGGGGAGGGCTGTCTAAGGTCTGGCTGATGGGCAGTGGGCTGGGGCTGGGGGTGGGGATTGTCAGGCAAGCCTAGCTGCCTGAGGAGGGTTTTCACTTGTGAACAAGAGGCGTTGCCAGAATATGTGTTCCTGTGCACTGCGTTAACACTGTTAATGTGGAAGCAGCCTGTTCACATTAGCAGGGCCGCCGCCGCCTCCTCCCCCTCCCCATCCTCCTCCTTCTCCTCCTCTCTCCCTCCTCTCTTCCTCCCCCCCCTCCCCTTTTGGGTGCTGATCCTGGAGCTTGAACTCAGGGCCTAGGTGCTGTCCCTGAGCTTTTTTGCTCAAGGTTAGTGCTGTACCACGTGAGCCACAGCTCCATTTCTAGTGTCTTTGGTGGTTAAAGGGAGATAAGAGTCTCGTGGACTTTCAAGCTTCTTACTTTTTTTCACATATGTGTACTGAGTGTTATGACTATATTTGTGCACCATGTTTTTCCATTCATTTCCTTCCCCCTCTTCACCTTCCCTTATTCAAACATGGTTCAGCTTCCTATAATTCATTTGGTTAAAATGTCTGTTCATTCCCCCAAGGGTTTGCCTCATGAAGCGTTGTATTTCAGTCTGTGGTACTGTGCTTTAGGTTGGTCCTGTGTCCCTGTGTGGTTTACTATACTTCAGTCGGTAGTATCATGCCTCAGGTTGGTCCTGGGTCCCTGTGTTGTTCACGTAGGAGGTTGTGTTTTGGATCTGTGATCTACATGCACACTTTGTCTTTCTATGCCTGACTTAATTAACTCAGTATGATCTTTTCCAACTCCAGCTCCATCTATTTCCCTGAAAATGGCATCATTCCATTCTTCCTAAAGACTGAAAAAATTTCCATTTGTGTTTGTGTGTGTGTGTTAAATCTTTTTGTTGTTGTTGTAGGGCTTGAACTCAGGGCCTGGGTGCTGTCCCTGAGCCTCTTTGAGCTCAAGGCTAGCGCTCTACCACTTGCGTCACTGCAACATTTCTTTTTTCTTTTTTTTTGTGAGTGGTAAATTGGAGATAAAGAGTCTCAGGATGTTCCTGCCCAGGCTGGCTTTGAACCACAGTCCTCAGATCTCAGCCTCCGGCGTAGCTAGGATGACAGGCGTGAGCCACCAGCGCCTGATTGAAATCAAAGCTTTATTGATGCCATTGTCTGTTGCAGGGCATCTGGGTTATTTCTATAACTTGGGGTCTGTGAATAGTGCTGCAGTGCACTTGGATGTACACGTGCTTTCATTGTATCTTCAGGGTAAATGGCTGGGAGTGGTATTGCTGGATCATGGCTTAGCTTTGTGGTAAATGGCTGGGCCATGGCACAGCTTTGTGGTAAATGGCTGGGAGTGGTATTGCTGGATCATGGCATAGCTTTGTGGTTACTGATATCTGTAGTGGTTGCACTAATTCACATTCCCACCAACAGCGCTTTAGGGTCCCTTCGTCACCACATACTGACTAGCATTTGATATTTATACTCTTGATGGCCATTCTGATTGGAGTAAGAAGAAATCTCAGTGTTATTTTGATTTGTATTTCCTTTGCCAGATGTTGAGTATTTCTTCATGTGTTAATTGCTATTTGAACTTCTTCTTCGTTTTTTGTTGGTCATGGGCCTGAACTCTGTGCCTGGGCGTTGTCCCTCAGTTCTTTAGCTCAAGGTTACCACTTGAGCTACAGCGCCACTTCTGGCGTTTTCTGCTTATGTGGTGCTGAGGAATCGAACCCAGGGCCTCATGCATGCAATGCAAGCGCTCTACCACGGAGCCACCTTCCCAGCCTCTGAACTTCTACTTCTGAGAAGTGTTTATTTAAGCTCCTCTGCCCATTTATCAACTGAGTTACTGGGTCTTTGTTTATTCTTATTATCAGACTCTCATCAGATCCTCGTTAGACCATCGAAGATCTCCTACCATGTCCATTGTCTTTTTAGTTTAATGACAATATCCTTCATTGTACTGAAGCTCTTTAGCTTAGTGCAATCCTTTCTGTCAGTTTTCATAGTTGCATGGTCCTCGGAATTCCTGTGTCACTGTGTCTAGTTCTTCCTCTCCTCCTTCCTAAGGTAGTCTCAGGTTCAGGTCTTTGACCCACTCTGAATTGAGAGTCTTCAGCATATGGAAATCTAGTTCTCCTGGTACTGTTTATTAAAGAGGCTATTCTTTCTCCAACAAATATCAATTGGTTATAGGTGCATGGATTTATTTCTGGGGTTTCGAATCTGTACCATTGGTCTTCAGCTCTGTTTTTGTGTCAGTACCAACTTTTTGTTGTTGTTTTAAATTATGGCTTTATAGTATTTTTTGCCCAGAATTATTTTGGCTGTTTGAGGCCTTTGTGTTAACAGGTGAATTTATGAATTTTAATCTCTCTCTCTCTTCCTTTTTTTTTTTTTTTTTTTGCCAGTACGAGGGCTTGAACTCAGGGCCTCACACCCTCAATTGGCATTTTTGCTTTAGGCTGGCACTTTATCACTTGAGCCACACCTCTACTTCCTCTATGAATTTTTTTTCCCTAGTCCTGGGACTTGAACTATGGATCAGGGCGCTATCCCTTAACTTTCTTTATTTTGCTCAAGGCTAGCACTCCACTGTGTGAGCTACAGTGCCACTTCCAGCTTTTTTGAGTAGTTTATTGGAGATAAGAGTCTCATGGGCTTTCCTGACCTGGATGGCTTCACACTGTGATTCTCACATCTCAGCCTTCTAAATAGCTAGGATTACAGAAATGAGCCACTGGTGCCTGGCCTCCATATAAATTTTAAGATTTCCTTTTCTCTACTCAGGAGGCTGAGATCTGAGGATCACGATTCAAAGCCAGCCCAGGCAGGAAAGTCCATGAGACTCTTATCTCCAATAAACCACTAAAAACCGGAAGTGGCGCTGTGGCTCAAGTGGTAGAGCGCTCCCTTGAGCTGAAGAGCTGAGGGACAGCGCCCAGGCCCAGAGTTCAGGCCCCACGACTGACCAAAAAAAAAAAAATGATTGCCTTTTCTATTTCTGTAAGGAATCACATTAAAGTTTTTGATGGATATTGCATTAAATTTGTATTAGATTGCTTTTGGCAGTGTGGACATTTTCAAGTACTGATTCTCTCAATCCAAGAACATGGGAGGTCTTTCCATTTTCGCATGTCTTCTTTGGTGTCTTTCTTCAGCATTTATAGTTTTAATTATAGAGGTCCTTCACCTTCTTGGTTAGGCTTTTTAGTAGGTATTTTAGGTGTTTTTGTTTTTGTTTTTTTTGGGTCTGGTTGTGGGCTTGAACTCTGGGCTTGGGCGCTGTCCCTCAGCTTTTCAGCTCAAGGCTAGGGCTCTACCACTTGAGCCACAGTGCCACTTCTGGCTTTTTTTTTCTGCTTATGTGGTGCTGTAGGAATGGAACCCAGAGCCTCCTGCATGCAAGGCAAACACCCTACCACTGAGCCACCTTCCCAGCCCGTTGTTTTTTTTTTTTTATGGTGCAGCTATTGTGAATGAAGTTGTTTTCCTAATTTCCTTCTCATCCTGTTTGTTGTTGGTATACAGAAAAGCAAGTTGTTTTTGTGTGCTGATTTTTTATACTGCTTCATTGCTGAAGGTCCTAATCAGGTCTAGGCTGATGAAGGGGATGGTGTCCTTAGAGTTCTTGAGTATAGCTTACATTATCTGCAGATGGGGGCTGTTTGACTTCTTTCCTGTTTTGGTTCATTCCATTTCTTCCTTGTGTGTGTGTTTCTGCCGTCCTGTCTGAGGGGGGCAGAGCTTTGCTGGGGTGTGGTGCAGCCTCACACGAGAGGGGCGCAGAGCTTTGCTGGGGTGTGGTGCAGCCTCACACGAGAGGGGCGCAGAGCTTTGCTGGGGTGTGGTGCAGCCTCACACGAGAGGGGCGCAGAGCTTTGCTGGGGTGTAGTGCAGCCTCACACGAGAGGGGCGCAGAGCTTTGCTGGGGTGTAGTGCAGCCTCACACGAGAGGGGCGCAGAGCTTTGCTGGGGTGTGGTGCAGCCTCACACGAGAGGGGCGCAGAGCTTTGCTGGGGTGTAGTGCAGCCTCACGCGCTCCTCTGTCTGGGATCCTGGGCTTCAGCAGACAGGACACCTCGGTAGCACCTGCAGAGTCGCTCACTGTCTTCAGAGTTCGTCCTTTGCCTCTCCAGTCTGCCGCTCCTCCTCCTCCTGCCAGGGTTCCTGGCCCACCTCTGCTTTTCCATTGACAAGGAGAATACCATTTCCACAGGTCTTGTTTTCTTTTTTTTTTTTTTTTTTGGTCGGTCGGGGGGCTTGAACTCTGGGCTTGGGCCCTGCCCTGTCCTTCAGCTCAAGGCAAGCGCTCTACCACTTGAGCTACAGCGCCACTTCCGGTTTTCTGGTGGTTTATTGGAGATAGGAGTCTCACGGTCTCTCTTGCCCGGGCTGGCTTTGAACCATGATCCTCAGATCTCAGCCTCCTGAGTAGCTAGGATTACAGGCGTGAGCCACCAGCGCCCGGCAGGTCTTGTTTTCTTAGTGAGTGAAGATGAGGCTACAGACCTCCACCATTTTCTCTCCCTTATAAGGTGGTTGTATTTCCACAGCAAGCTTGATGCTCTCAGTGAATGAAATGCAAGTATAAATGTGCCATCTAGTCTCACAACGCTTCTGGATTTGAGTTTTTGAAAATAAAACCATGTGACTACAATCACTTAGGAACGTCTTCCATCATTTGATAGGTGTGGTGCAGTGACTCATGCCTGTAATCTTAGCTACTTGGGTTGTGGTAGAAGGACAGCTGGGCAGGAAGTTCTGGAGACCCCCATGTCAACACTGGCACAACAGCCAGGCACAGTGGCATATGCTGCTGCTATCCTAGCTATGCAAGACCCGTAAATAGGACTGAGAAACGATGAAGCCGAAAGGGTCCTCGCCTAGCGAGTTCAAGCCCGAGTTCTGCCAGAGTAGAACAGAGTCCCCCTCGCGTGCGTCCTCTCAGGTGCCCTGGTTGCCGGGTGCCTGGCTGGCATTTCTGCAGGGCATGGACGGGCAGGAAGGCACTCTAGTCCCATGTCTCCTTCCAGGGGAACTAATCTCACAGTACCTCGCCCAGCTTCGGAGCCCGGAAGAAATGACTCGCTGCGCCTTCTCATCAGCCCTGGGTGGCCTCCCCCGCTTCCTTCTAAGCGGCCGTCTGCAGCAGGTGTGAAGGGCGGCGGGGCAGGCGTGGGTCTGCTGCTAATGAACCCACAGGAAGGGGTGGCCGGCAGTCAGCCTGGACTTGAGGGTGCTGGCAGACTGGTCTTGCAGGACAGCCCTCAGAGAGAGGGGGAGGGAGAGGGGAGAGCTGCAGAGAGAGGGAGAGAGAGAGCTGCTCAGAGAAAGAGAGGAAAGAGAGGGGGAGAGAGAGGGAGGGAGAACTACCTTAGAGAGAGGGGAGAGAGAGGGGAGAGCTGCAGAGAGAGAGGGAGGGGGGAAGAGGGAGAGAGGGGGGAGACGGGAAAGAGAGAGAGAGAGCTGCCCAGAGGGAGAGAGAGAGAGGAAAGAGGGGGAGAGAGAATGAGCGAGAGAGAGAGAGTGAGCGAGAGAGAGCTGCCCTCAGGCTTGTAGGAGGGAAGCTGTGGCTGCCAGGCTGAGAACTTGCTTCTCCGGCTGCAGCCTGGCAGTGGAGGCAGGCTGGGCTCCACTGGGCTCAGAAGGCCCGTGTTTCTTCCTTGGGAGCACACACACACACTCCCTGTAGCGTGGAGCGTGAGCGAGGGGGGGTCTGTCTGTCCCTCAGTGTGCTGGGGTCCTTACAGCCCGTAGCGTGGAGTGTGAGCGAGGGGGTTCTGTCTGTCCCTCAGTGTGCTGGGGTCCTTGCAGCCCGTAGCGTGGAGCGTGAGTGAGGGGGGTCTGTCTGTCCCTCAGTGTGCTGTGGTCCTTGCATGCGCCCGGGCTTTCCTGTTGCTCTGTCCAGCCCCTGCTAGGGTGCTTCCTTCGCATGGTCCACTGCGAGGAGCTGCACGTTGAGAGGCCCAGGCTGGGCCCCGCCAGGCCTTCACCTCGGAGGCCTCGCTGTCGCACGCTCCCCTGTCTACTGGATATGCCGTACCAGCTTCTTGTTCTCCTTCTGCCCCAGACTGCTGGTCACCCCTTCTGAGTCTGGGGATCGTCTGTCCTCGCTTTTCTCAGGAGTACCCCTCACCTCCTTATCCTGGTTTCATCCTGTGCTGCCCAACAAGGCCTGAGTGACTGGCATGCATCCAGTCTGTCCCTGGAGTCTGTGTCCCTCCCCACCGCAGTCTGTCTCAGACAGAATAAAGCCCCCCCCCCACACACACATGCACACACGCACACACACGTGCACACACGCACGCACACACACACACAGAGTCACTTTGTAGCTGACACTTGTCTGGGGATTCCGTTGCCTTCAGGTGCTTGCTGGTTTGAGAGCCGTCACCTGCATTTCGCCTCAGGACGTGAGCTTTGCCGAGGCCCGGAGGGACGGCCTGAGGGCCATCTTGAGGTGAGTGGGTGGTGGGCTCCGCCGTGGACGCAGCACCTGGCAAAACACAACTAGAGGCGCTGTGGTTTTCCAGTCCTTCTCTCCCTTTCTTCCCCTTCTTTCCCCTCCTGTTTCCCCCCCTTCTTCTCCCTTTTCCTCTTTTTCCTTTCCTTTGGTGTCAGGTAGCTTCTCCAGTCTGGGAAGGCCTAGTGACAGTTATATGTTGTTAGTGAAAACAAACATTCAACCTGTTGTATAACTACAACTAGGAACAAGCGGGTACCGTGACCTCAGCTGCTAAACAGGCTGAGATCTGAGGTTAATGGTTCCAGGAGAAAGATTCTTCTCTCCAGTTCACCAGTCAGAAATTTGGACTGGAGGTATGGCTTGAGTGGGAGGGGGCCTGCCATGAATGAAAACGTCTAGCAAGAGTTCAAGTCCTGAGTTCCGGCACACACACAGAAAAAGAACCGGGGAACAGCTCGGTGAGACTTGGTCAGCACACAGATCAAAGCATCATAGGGCTGGTAGAGCTCAGCTGTAGAGAGAGCCTGTGTATTCATCAGGCCCTGAGTTCCAGGCCCAGGAAATGTGACACTGTTTGGAGCCACCTCCACTTCTGGAGTCAGTGTTCAGGGCTGCTGTGTCTGCCTCTTTCCCGCCTCCAACCCCGTTTTGTTGGGATGGGAAGGAGGAGGCTCAGCACCTTACAGGCCACGGGGGCTGTAGCATGTGACTCCACAGCCATTCCCACCTGCGTGCAAAGGGTCCCCTGCGAGTCTTGGTTTGCCAGGGCTGTTGTCCTGGTTACAATTGTGTTGACTGTTCCTCTTAGGAGCTTATCAGGACACTGACATGAGGTTTTGCACGTTGTAATTTCAGCATTTGCCAGACTGTTGGTGTAAAAGCAGAGGGGCCTCCAGATGAAGTTGTGTGCAGAGAGAATGTTTCTGAGATTTACAGTGCACTACTGGACTGCATGCGTGATTATACCACAGACAACAGAGGAGATGTGGGATCCTGGTAAGGCCGGCGTCTCTGTCCCCGCAGTCTGTGAGCAGCACTGAGGGTGGCGCTTTGGGCCGCTTACTCCCATGTCCCAGATGGCTGGAACCTATCCTGACCAGGGTCCTCCCCGCAGCCGCACCGCCTGCTTCCTCTGGTGCTCAGTTAGGCAAAGCATCCTATGGGATGGCTTTCCTGCTTCTACTTTCTTTCCTCATGTTCTCTTTACTGACGTTGGCTTTAGGAAATGCAATGTTCTGTTGAGTTGTGTTGCAGCTCTAGCTGGGGGCTCAACTGCTGATGCTAAGTTCATTCCTAACAATACTCCTGGTGAGAGCCTGGAGGCGCCCGCTCACTGTGGGGACTGCTGGGATTCAGAACTCAGGAGGAAATTGGGGCTGTGGAGACTCTGCTCTGAGCTGAGTGTTTCCAGAGATGCGGCTGCAAGTTGCCTTGATTCCAGATTGTTCTGTCTGCCTGTGTGTGTGTGTGTGTGTGTGTGTGTGTGTGTGTGTGTGTGTGTATCTGTCTCTGTCTCTGTGTGCGTTTGCATGTATGTATGTATGTGTGTCTGTGTGTGCGTGTGCATCTATCTGTCTGTCTGTGTGTGCGTGTGCATGTGTGTGTGTGTGCGCATGCACCACCGCTGTGCATCTCTTACTTGTGCTTTCTTGGAGACTGAGCAGTGTTCTTACAGGACACACTAGAGAGAGGTCCTAACGCTCTAGACACTTAGCACACACTAGAGAGAGGTCCTAACGCTCTAGACACTCAGCATACACTAGAGAGAGGTCCTAACGCTCTAGACACTCAGCACACACTAGAGAGGTCCTAAAGCTCTGTTTGTTTTGTTCAGTTTTTTTGGTTTGGTTTCTTCAAAGCTATCTATAAATTCAATACCCAAATTCAATTCAAATGCAGTATCCATCAAAATTCCAACAACATTTTCCAGTGATATAGAAGAAGCAATCCAAAAATTCATATGGAATAATAGAACACCCAAATTGCAAAAACAGTCCTTAGCAGGACAGTGCAACTCTTATTATAATGATGTTATAAAACCATCTTGGTACTGGCGCAAGCATAGACTTGAGGACTAATGGAGGAGAAGACCCAGAAATGAGCCCTCAGACTTACTGGCACCTAATATTTGATAAGGGAACAGAAAACAGAAAGAAAACTCTTCAACAAATGGTGCTGGAAGAATTGGCTAGACAGATGCAGAAAACTGAAATTAGATACTAATGTATCTCCCTGCACCAGAATCAACTCAAAAAAGATCAGAGTCCTCAATGTAAGAACAGATACCCTGAAAATATTACAGGAAGGGATAGGGGAAATACTAAGGCTCCTAGTCACAGGTTGAAATTTGTTAACTAATCCAGAATCAGCTGGGTGCTGGTAGCTCACGCCTGTAATCCTAGCTACTCATGAGGCTGAGATCTGAGGATCAGCCTTGGCAGGAAAGTTCGTGAGACTCTTATTTCCAATTAACCACCAGAAAACCAGAAGTGGCGCTGTGGCTTCAGTGGTAGAGCACTTGCCTTGAGCTAAAGAGCTGAGGGATAATGCCCAGGCCCAGAGTTCAAGCCCCATGACCACTCCTCCTCTCCCCCCTCCCCCACCAAAAAAAGATCCAGAATCACAACAAATCAGAAAGACTGAATAAACGAAATCACGTCAAAATGAACAGTTTCTGCATGGCAAAGGACATTAGCTAGCAAGATAAATAGAAAGCCCACAGAATGGGAGAAGATCTTTATTAGCTATGCATCAGACAAGGGCCTCATATCTAAAATATACTCAGAGCTCAAAAAATTGAACCTCCTCAAAGCAACAACCCAATTAGTAAATGGGCTAAAGACTTAAAGAGAGACTTCTCTGAAGAAGAATTTCCATTATCAAGAAAACTAACAACAACAGTTGCTCTCTGGGATGTGGCCAAAAGGGAATGCTACTATACTGTCGGCGGGAATGTCAGCTTGTTCAACCACTCTGGAAAGCAGTATGGAGGTTCCTCAAAAGACTAAACATAGGGGCTGGGAAAGTAGCTCAGTGGTAGAGTGCTTGCCTTGCATGCATGAGGCCCTGGGTTCAATTCCTCAGCACCACATAAGCAAAAAGAAAAATAAAGCCGGAAGTGGTGCTGTGGCTCAAGTGGTAGAGCATTAGCCTTGAGCTGAAGAGCTGAGGGACAGCGCCCAGGCCCAGAGTTCAGGCCCCACAACCAGACCAAAAAAAAGACTAAACATAGAATTTCCCTATAACCCAGCAATCTCATTTCTAGGCATCTGTCCAATTGACCACAAACACTAAAGCTACCAGCACAACCATGTTCATTGCAGTATTGTTTACCAAGCCAAGAACCAACTCAGATGCCCTTTAGTGGATGAACGGATCAGGAATTTGTAATATATATATATATATATATATATATATATATATATATATATATATATATATATATATATATATGGTGGAATTCTATGTGTCCATCAGAAAGAATGATATTGCCCCATTTGTAAGGAAATGGAAAGATTTGGAAAACATTATACTAAGTGAAGTAAGTCAGACCCAAAGAAACAGGATGTATGGTTTTCCTCATTTGTAATAACTAGAATGTGCCTATAAATATACAAGTAAACCCAATGATAGTAAAAGACAAATAATTACACCTGGATGTGATTAACCAGCAATCTAAAGATTTGTTCTCACACAGTGAGAACAAAGAAGGGTATTCTTAGGAGAGGGTTATAAGGCTCGATAGCTATGTGCATAAGGTCATGTAGAATAATGCTTATCAAAATGAACCCCAAGACATGGTGTTCCTCCTCCCCCTCCTCCTCCTCCCCTCCTCCCCCTCCTCTTCCCCCTCCTCCTCCTCCTCCCCTCTTCCCCCTTTTCCTCCTCCTCTTTTTCCCTTTAGTTTATTCTCTTCTGTGGCTCTTTTTTAAATTTCTGTGCCCTTTGTCTTGTACATGAGTTTATCTGGAGAGTGGAAGGGAAAGCACAGACACGGGACAAAGGGTGAATGAATTCAGCGACGAAACCCACTCGACACTATGTTAGTAGTGATCTATGTGCCGGGTGCCGGTGGCTCACGCCTGTAATCCTAGCTAAGGCTGAGATCTGAGGATCGAGGTTCAAAGCCAACCCTGGGCAGGAGAGACCGTGAGACTCCTATCTCCAATAAACCACTAGAAAACCGGAAGTGGCGCTGTAGTTCAAGTGGTAGCGTGCTCGCCTTGAGCTGAAGAGCTGAGGGACAGTGCCCAGGCCCAGAGTTCAAGCCCCACAACCGCCAAAAAAAAAAAAAGAAGTGATCTATGTAACTTCAGGGGTGGCAAGTCCAGAGAGAGAACCTGAGAGAATGAGGGGGGGGCGACACTGCTGACAAGGACATGTACCATTACCTGTCCCTTTCACCTGGAGCCTCTGTACGTCACCTTTACAGTCCAGTTAGAAGTGAGCTCTGCTAACCTCACTAACCCTGGAGTCCTCTCAGACACCGGGGGTCAGTAGGGTCCTGTGGCTGTTTTCTGCCCCCGCCCGTCTCTCCGGCCTTCCCTTCCCACTAGCATCTGGCCGGCCAGCCATGCCCGTTCCATAGTGCTGTCAGGGGCCCAGCCTTTGTGGGGAGACCCTGTGGGCTGGCCTTAGCTCGTACAGCGTGGGAAGTGGTGTTTGGCCTGTGTGTGCGCTCACGGCTCTGTTGGGACTCGTCCAGGCTCTGCAGGCGTGAAGCATGAAGCCTCTTGCTTGCTGCAGTGCACGAGACAGAACATGAAGCCTGCCAGCGGCTCGCCCTGGGTTTCGCTGACACTTTCTACTGAAGTAGGATTTCTGTAATCTCCGAAACTCACCCTGGGACGGAGCCTGTGTGTGGCCGGCAGGTCTCCCGGCCATCGCCACAGAGCCTGGGGAACCTGGGTGGTTCTTGGGAACTTCCTCCCACAGGGGTCCTGTTCTGCCTGCTGCCAGCCCGTGTGGTGGCTGGGTGGGGCACAGCGGAGTCCCAGCCCCACGCTGACCCTCACCGTGTGTCCTTGTCCTGCAGTGTCCGTGAGGCGGCCATGACCGGCATATTGGACCTGGTGCTCCTGTTGGTGCAGGTGCAGCCCTCCCTGCTTGAGGCCCCTGTGTGAGTACGGGCCAGGCCAGCCTGGACGGCGCCCCGTGGGCACCTGTGCGTCTTCTGGGATGGGCCTCTCAGGCCGTTTTCCCGACCCCCACAGCCTGTGGGCCTGCCCTGCCTGTGGGGATGGCCTCGCACAGCGCTGGCGGGCGGGCCGGGACCGCCGCCGGCTCCTTCGAGGGCGGGCTGCCATTACCCCATCCGTCCTTACAGTGGGGGCTTTTCACCAAGCCCTGGGCTCTGCCTGTCAGTGTCTGGTCTTGAGTTCCTGACCGCCCTGGACCCCTCCTCTTCTCCTCTGTCTTTCCTGTACTTCATTTTGTCCTGTGCCCTCTTCTTAGCCTAACTTTCCATCCCTTCCTGCTCCCCTCCAGTGTCTTCTTCCTTCCCAGGGCCTCGGCAGCCTTCCGTGCCGTGGCTCTGGGATGCGGCGGCAGGCCTGGCGTGCTGATGGGCTCCCGCTGTTCACCCTTAGGTGTGAGAGCTTTCTGTGCTCACTCGCCCGGCAGGCCAGCGAGAAGATTGACCGGGTTCGCGCTCATGCTGCCCATGTGTTTGTGACGCTCCTGCATTTTGACAGCCCCCCCGTCCCCCATGTGCCCCACCGCGGAGAGCTGGAGGTGCTGTTTCCCAGGTAGGCACTGCTGGGCGCCCTGCCCCCCCCCCAGGGTCCTCGAAGCACCCTGAGGAACGCCACTTCTTCCAGATCCGCCATGGCCTCTGTGAACTGGAGTGCCCCTTCGCAGGCCTTCCCTCTCGTCGCCCGGCTCCTGGGGCTGCCCGCCTACCGCTACCACGTGCTGCTGGGGCTGGCCGTGTCTGTGGGCGGCTTGACAGAATCAACGGTGAGGGGGACGGTGTGGCGGGTGGGAGCTCGGCCCCCGCCTCGGGCAGTGCGTGTGTTCTCAACGGGAAGGCTTGCGTGGCCGCTGGGGGCCGCTGGGCCAGTGTCTGCCTTCCCTGGGGTTGGCCTCTCTCCCTGCCTTTCTCCACTCCCCCGTCATTTGGCTGTGGTCAGCAGTCTGGCTTCTGCCCATGTCCTGAGGGGCTCTGGAAACCAGCTCTTGTGTGGCTGAGCCTGGGAAAGGCAGAGCCTGCATTTTCAGTAAGGATGGTTGTATTCTGGGCCACTGTGGGTAGAGCGGCACCCATGCTTTCGGCCTCTGGCGGCCTCGGTGCTGGCGGACACGTTGCTTGAAAGGCAGGGCAGGTTAGGGTCCTGTTTCTCCAAAACGCTGAAATTTTGGTGTCATTGTAAATGAGTACTTAACTTTGTAGCCCACGATTCCAACTCTATGAAGAGCAATTGTTTCTTCTTACGGAAATTTGAAATAAGCTTGCAGAGAAGGGCAGGACCGCTTCCATCCACTAGCTGCCTCCATCTGTCTGTTCTGTTTCTGCCACACACCCTGAGCACTGAGGTGCACCGGTGCTCTCGGGAGGAGGAGCTTTTACACTTATTCCAGAACTCTGTCCTCCTCTGCCTGTCTGCCTGCTCTCCTCCTCCTCCTCCTCCTCTGCCTGTCTGCCTGCTCTCCTCCTCCTCCTCCTCCTCTGCCTGTCTGCCTGCTCTCCTCCTCCTCCTCCTCTGCCTGTCTGCCTGCTCTCCTCCTCCTCCTCTGCCTGTCTACCTGCTCTGCTCCTCCTCCTCCTCCTCTGCCTGCTCTGCCTGGTCTCCTCCTCCTCCTCTGCCTGTCTGCCTGCTCTCCTCCTCCTCCTCTGCCTGTCTGCCTGCTCTCCTCCTCCTCCTCTGCCTGTCTGCCTGCTCTCCTCCTCCTCCTCTGCCTGTCTTCTCTCCTCCTCCTCCTCTGCCTGTCTGCCTGCTCTCCTCCTCCTCCTCTGCCTGTCTTCTCTCCTCCTCCTCCTCTGCCTGTCTGCCTGCTCTCCTCCTCCTCCTCTGCATGTCTGCCTGCCTCTTCCTCCTCCTTATGAAGGTGGGGGGGGCGGGGCAGAGCTGGGCTCTGGCTGTGCTGCTGCTGTCTAGGTTCTGATCCAGTGTGGGCCTCAGTGGCCACTGAGCACCTGCAGGATGCTCTTGTCTGTGTAGACCAGGGTCATCTCAGCTTGGTGGCAGTCATGTAACCATCAGTTCCTGGCCAGTCAGCTTTGTCTTTACCTGTAGCTTCTTGGTGTTACAGGTCAGACATTCCACTCAGAGCCTCTTTGAGTACATGAAAGGGATTCAGAGAGACCCACAAGCCCTGGGGGCCTTTGCTGAGAGCATCCTGCGTGTCTTTGAGGACAACCTCCTGAATGACCGGTAGGTGGCGCCTGTCTCCGGAGCCCCAGGGCACGGCTGCAGGAGGCTCCTGGGCCCGGCCTTCACCTCCTCTGGGCCCTCTTCCCACTGGCTCTTTTGGTAGAAAATGGATGTTTCTGTGTGGGGGAAGGACGGCTCCAGGCGGCAGTTGGCAGCCTCAAGGTGGAGCAGGTTTCTGAGAAGCAGCACTTTTGACCTCTGCATTGGTAGTGTGTACGGGAACTGGTGGTAGCCCTCACCAGGAGGCTACGCGTGAAGTGTGTGATGCAGCCTGTGGTGCCTGTGTGGGAAGCCCTGGGCCTCCGTCTGCCCCTGGGGGCCTCACCAGCCTGCTGTGCTCTCCCCTCAGGGTATCTGTATCACTACTGAAGATGTTGGACCAAATGCTGGCCAATGGGTGCTTTGACATTTTCACCACTGAGGAAAAGTAAGATCTCTTCAGGGCTTGCTGGTTGGTAACGCCCACGTCACCCATATTTTAGTCTTACTCATATTTGTTTGTGTGTTCTGTTAGTTTTGGGGCTTAGAGCTCTTTTGCTGAAGGCTAGTGCTGTACCACTTGAGTCAGTGCACCACTTCTGGTTTTCTAGTGGTTAATTAGAGATCAAAGTCTCATGGACTTTCCTGCCCAGGTTGGTTTCAAAACACGATCCTCAGATCTCGGCCTTCTGAGTAGCTAGGATGACAGGTGTGAACCTGGCTGTTCACATTTTGACACAGAATCTTGCCGTGCTGCCTAGGCTGGCCTTGAATTCACAAGCCTGCGCCTCAGGCTCCAGAAGAGCTGGGATGCAACCAGCTCACATCTTAAAGACAGATGGTAATTCCCAAGGGCACTGGAGTCAGTTTTGTCAGGTAGACAGGCACTTGCCATCTAGGTGGAAGGTCGACTTGGGCAGGGGAGGTGGCCTGTTGGCCAGGGCTCTCCATCTGGGCCACTCTGGGAGCACTGGAGGCTGAGACGTCAGAGCCCCGGCTGCGTGGCAGAGGGGAGGTACGAGAGAGGGCGGTGGGAGGCTGCAGCCCCTGTGCCTGTGGAGCGGGCAAGCCCGGCCTAGGGCCACGGGGCCTCCGGTGGCTGTGTCCTGCCGCCTACGCCAGGCGTGGTCCTGCCCTTGAGCGCTGACACGGCTTGGGTGCTGGGCTGGCTTTGTCAGCAAATGTGCTCCTTTCCTCGGGACCCCAGACACTGCGTCCTTCTGTGTTCCGTGGAGGTTCTCGAGCCCCCACGGGCACACTGTTACCGGGGAGCAGGCCTCCTCTGACTGCTTTTGAACAGTCAAGTGGCACCGTGGCAGCTGGGTTTCCCACCGCCAAAGTCATCTCATTTCCGATTTTTCTGCCCACACTAGGGAGCTGTGGAGAGTTTGCCTGTCACCTCTTGGGCGGCTCTTTCTCTGGCTTGGAGTGGTACGCCTGTGTTTACAGGCGGATGAGAACTCGGATGAGCCTTCAAGCCTGGGGGCACCGGTGCCTCTGTTGCTCTGCCCCAGATGCCTGCGCGCGTTGTACACCTGGCGTCTGCCCCAGATCCCTGTGCGTGTTGTACACCCAGGGCTGGCAATGGCTTTGGGCTTGCTCAAAGCCTGCTTTCTTAGGAATTTAGTTCAGTTCTTATAGGTGAAGGTGAATCTCCATTTTTGCTGAATGTCTTGGATGCTTTGTAATCTAGCAACTTCATTGGAGAAGTTTTTGCACTCATGGGCCTACCCAGCTTGGCTATAGATGTAAGAATTTAATGTACTGGGTGCCAGTGGCTCACGCCTCTAATCTTAGCTACTCAGGAGGCTGAGATCTCAGGATCACGATTTAAAGTCAGCCCAGACTGGAAAGTCTGTGAGACCAATATCCAGCTAACAACCAAAAACAGAGAGCAGGGAGGGAGAGAGAGAGGAAGAGAGAAAGAAAGACAAAGGGCCAGAAGAGGAGTTGTGGCTTCAGAGTTAAGAGTACTAGCTTAGGGACAGTGCCCAGGCTTGGAGTTCAAGCCCCAGGACTAGCACGTGGAGGGGAAAGTGAATTTAAATATGTCTTTTCTTGGTTTAAAAAATTTAAAACACCCTGGGTGCCCATGGCTCACACATATAACCCTAGCTACTCAGGAGGCTGAGGATCATGGTTCTGAGCTCGCTGGGGCTCTTATCTCCAAATAGCAAAAAGCTGAAGTGGAGGCATGGCTCAAGTGTATAGCAGTTCACTGGAGGTGGGGCAGGGGAGAGAGCATAAGCCCCAGTAGGACATAAAAACAAAACAAAAAAACAGTGGAAAAGATACCTCCTGGGTTGAGGTGCATGAGGCCCTGTTCAGAGCTCCCCTGACACGCAGCTGAGCTGGAATACCGTGTGTTCGTGATACTGCTGGCCTGGGAAACCGGAGGGTCCCCGGCATCCGAGGGGCTGGGGTGCAGAAAGGCCCCGACAGAGCCCTGGGAAGCTTGGGTTAGGGGTTGGACAGTGGCTGGGCCGGGCCTTAGGCAGGTAGGTACCGGGTGCCCACGGCCCTCAGCAGCATGATGGCCACTCTGCCCCAACAAGCCTTTCGGGGTCTGCAGAGGGACCTCTGGGTGCTCTGCCAGGGGACCGCGGTGCCCCTGTGGGCTGGGCGTGGTGGGAGTGGCTGTCATGGACGGTGTGCCGCAGCCCCTGGCAGCTATAGACAGAAGGCACCACACGGTCTCAGCCAGCCACAGCCACCTGAGCGTCTGTGCCCACATGGAAGCCATGCTGAGGTCAGCCTGCCGTGCAGTGAGCACTGGCTGGCGAGGGTGGCGGTGGCTCGTCGGCAGGGACCCTCCAGGGATGTGGGACCGCAGAGCCAGTTCCTGTCACCTGGCTGGATGTTGTTCCTTGGTCGTGGCGGCTGTACTCCAGAATAACCTGTTCTTCTTACAGCCACCCCTTCTGTGTACAGCTGCTTGCGCTTTGTAAGGAGGAGATCAAGAAGTCCAAAGACATCCAGAAACTACTCTCGAGCATTGCAGTGTGAGTTCTACATGCTCCTGGCCTGTCAGCCTCTGAAGGGGCTTCATGGCTCCAAAATCAGCTGTGCATGTAAGACGGCAGTAACTTACGTGGCCAGTGGGGTCCTTGCCGGGGCCAGCAGAAGGCTCGGACTGTGCCCAGCAGAGTGGGGTGTGCTCAGTGCTGTCCTGACGTGTGCAGCCCACCCACCCCAGCACTGGGTGTTTTTCAGGCTTTGATCTGCAGAGCTCAGATGGTCTACTAGGTCATGCTGACCAGTGGCCAGTGCCTCAGTGGTCCCACAGGTTTCCAAGGGCCAGGGGGTCAGCACGGGTGGGGTAGGCGCCTTGCTGATCCCCTCTGAGATGTCTCCCTGACTGTCTGGTATTCACACACACTGGTTCACATGGCACACGTGTGTACAGAAGTGTGTTCACAGGCACACAGGTACCCAGAGGCATGCCCATCATTGTGTGCACATGTGTGTAAACTCATGCACGCATGGAGCTCTGGGCCGTGTGCTCCTGGGTCTCCTGTGCACTCAGCCTGTGAGCTGTGCAGCATCTGTGCAACCTCTGATCACCCTGGTGGGTTTTCTGCAGGCTCTGTGGGTTGGTGCAGTTCCACGGCGACGTGAGGAACAAGGTCCTTCTGCAGCTCTTGCTCCTCCTCTGCCACCCGTTCCCCGTGGTGAGTGTCTGCCTGGGTCGTGGGCCACGTCGGCTCTGCCACCCGTTCCCCGTGGTGAGCTCTGCCACCCGTTCCCCGTGGTGAGTGTCTGCCTGGGTCGTGGGCCACGTCGGTCTGCCACCCGTTCCCCGTGGTGAGTGTCTGCCACCCGTTCCCCGTGGTGAGTGTCTGCCTGGGTCGTGGGCCACGTCGGCTCTGCCACCCGTTCCCCGTGGTGAGTGTCTGCCTGGGTCGTGGGCCACGTCGGCTCTGCCACCCGTTCCCCGTGGTGAGTGTCTGCCTGGGTCCTGCCACCCGTTCCCCGTGGTGAGTGTCTGCCTGGGTCGTGGGCCACGTCGGCTCTGCCACCCGTTCCCCATGGTGAGCTCTGCCACCCGTTCCCCGTGGAGAGCGTGTGCCTGGATCGTGGGCCACGTCAGCTCTGCCACCCATTCCCCGTGGTGAGTGTGTGCCTGGATCGTGGGCCACGTGGGCTCTGCCACTCATTCCCCATGGTGAGCTCTGCCACCCGTTCCCCGTGGTGAGTGTCTGCCTGGGTCGTGGGCCACGTCGGTCTGCCACCCGTTCCCCGTGGTGAGTGTCTGCCACCCGTTCCCCGTGGAGAGCGTGTGCCTGGGTCGTGGGCCACGTCGGCTCTGCCACCCATTCCCCGTGGAGAGCGTGTGCCTGGATCGTGGGCCACGTGGGCTCTGCCACCCATTCCCCGTGGTGAGCGTGTGCCTGGATCGTGGGCCACGTGGGCTCTGCCACCCATTCCCCGTGGTGAGCGTGTGCCTGGATCGTGGGCCACGTGGGCTCTGCCACTCATTCCCCGTGGTGAGCGTGTGCCTAGATCGTGGGCCACGTCGGCTCTGCCACCCATTCCCCGTGGTGAGCGTGTACCTGGATCGTGGGCCACGTCGGCTCTGCCACCCGTTCCCCGTGGTGAGCGTGTGCCTAGATCGTGGGCCACGTCGGCTCTGCCACCCATTCCCCGTGGAGGGCGTGTGCCTGGATCGTGGGCCACGTGGGCTCTGCCACCCATTCCCCGTGGTGTGCTCTGCCACTCATTCCCCGTGGTGTGCTCTGTCACTCATTCCCCGTGGTGTGCTCTGCCACTCATTCCCCGTGGTGAGCGTCTGCCTGGATCATGGGCCACGTCGGCTCTGCCACCCGTTCCCCGTGGAGGGCGTGTGCCTGGATCGTGGGCCACGTCGGCTCTGCCACCCATTCCCCGTGGTGCGCTCTGCCACTCATTCCCCGTGGAGAGCGTGTGCCTGGATCGTGGGCCACGTCGGCTCTGCCACCCATTCCCCGTGGTGAGCGTGTGCCTGGATCGTGGGCCACGTCGGCTCTGCCACCCATTCCCCATGGAGAGCGTGTGCCTGGGTCGTGGGCCACGTGGGCTCTGCCACCCATTCCCCGTGGTGAGTGTCTGCCTGGATCGTGGGCCACGTCGGCTCTGCCACTCATTCCCCGTGGAGGGCGTGTGCCTGGATCGTGGGCCACGTGGGCTCTGCTACCCATTCCCCGTGGTGAGTGTCTGCCTGGATCGTGGGCCACGGGAGCTCTGCCACTCATTCCCCGTGGAGAGCGTGTGCCTGGATCGTGGGCCACGTCGGCTCTGCCACCCATTCCCCGTGGTGTGCTCTGCCACCCATTCCCCGTGGTGTGCTCTGCCACTCATTCCCCATGGTGAGCGTGTGCCTGGATCATGGGCCACGTCGGCTCTGCCACCCGTTCCCCGTGGTGAGCTCTGCCACTCATTCCCCATGGTGAGCGTGTGCCTGGATCGTGGGCCACGTCGGCTCTGCCACCCGTTCCCCGTGGTGAGCGTGTGCTTGGATCATGGGCCACGTGGGCTCTGCCACCCATTCCCCGTGGTGAGCGTGTGCCTGGATCGTGGGCCACGTCGGCTCTGCCACCCATTCCCCGTGGTGAGCGTGTGCCTGGATCGTGGGCCACATCGGCTCTGCCACCCATTCCCCGTGGAGAGCGTGTGCCTGGATCGTGGGCCACGTGGGCTCTGCCACCCATTCCCCGTGGTGAGCTCTGCCACCCATTCCCCGTGGTGAGCGTGTGCCTGGATCGTGGGCCACACCAGCGGCCTACGCAGATGCGGGCTCTGTTGACACAGGCGGCTCTGAAGTGGAGTGGGTGTGATGGTGTGCTGTGGAGAGGAGCCCACGGCTGGGCCACCCCAGGTTGGGGGTCAGCTGCACTGTGTTTATGTGGACAGAAGAGTGCTGCTGAGAGTGTGGCCTGCCAGCCCAGCCCCTGGACCCCGGAGCATCCCAGGCTAAGGCCCGTCCCAGTGGATACCGCCACACATCGAGACCCAGCTTTTACCTAGGGTTAAATTTCTCAGGATTCCTTTTTCCCGTTAACCTTTAATCACCCAGACATGGTGTTTTCCCAAAAGGTAGGAGTGGTTTCCAGGTGGACTGGTGGTATGCCCACTCACTCTACTTGGGACCTTGAGAAATGGTGGGCAGGAGCTAGCAGAGCAGGGGGCTGCCGCCGGGCAGGGGGCTGCCGCCGTGCCTGTGCTGGGGGAGTCCCTGCCTGGTTCTCGTCCTTCCCTCTACCACACGCCCTTCGGTAGCCAGGGTCCAAGGCCAGCTCTGTTGAGGCACACCGACTCCCTGGATGGTACCATTTCCTCCTCCTGGTAAGTCTCTCCCTGCTCCAGGTCCGGAAGTCGGCAGCAAGCCAGATCTATGAGATGGTGCTCACCTACAGCAACGTGGTGGCAGATGACGTTGTGGACGAGGTCATGCTTGTGCTCAGTGACACGGCCTGGTGAGTGGGCTCTGACCCAGTGATGCTCATCTTTCCCCATAGCTCCCCGGCACCTCCCGGGCTTGGAGCAGGAAAACACTCAGCATACAGTTTTCTCCCAGTAGTTGGCCATGAGTGGTTCAGACCCCTGCCTGTCAGAAGCTGGTTGTGGTTCTCTTCCTGTAATGCCAGTCAGGCTCTGCTGTGGCTAAGGACCCCGCCCCCCCCCAGGGCACTGGGATGTCAGGCTTCAGAAAAGCAGAGAAAGCTGCTGGCTCTGGGCAGGACAGGTGGGCACCACCGGGCCTGGGCAGGTGCAGGCTCTGGCACACTAAGGTGACCCCAGCCGCCGCTGCCATCCCTGTTTCCCTCTGTGAGGGTCCTGGGGCGCTGGGGAACAGGTTTCAGAGGTCACACTCTGGGTCAAAGCTGAAATAGCTTAAGAAAATGCAGAGAAGGGACAGATGTCAGTAGGACCAGCCCCTGCGGAAGGAGAGCTAGATGCGGGAGCTCCTTCCTGCCAGGGAATTCAGAGACCTCATCACAGAAGTATGGCTTTGCTCAGTAGTCACTGTTGGTACCAGATAGAGTACGGTTTCTGAAGCCCTCTGAGCAGAGCCGGGTGTTCCCCACGCTGTGTCTGGCTGGGCTCCCCGCGTCCGCCTTGGGCATCGGTCTGGAGCGGTGGAGCCTGCACGATGCAGCTACCGTGCCGAGGCCGGTGCAGGCTGAGCCCCACATGTCCTCCCTCAGGGATGCCAAGCTGGCCGTGGTGAGGGAGCGGCGGAATCACCTGTGTGACCTCCTCGCTGTGCCCAGACCCCAGCTGGTACCCAAGGTAATGGACCCGTGCCTCTGCCCCGACTCCGACACCCAGCGTGGGTGCCTCTGCCCCGACTCCGACACCCAGCGTGGGTGCCCCTGCCAGGGCCGGAGGTTCCCAGTCCTCCCCCTGTCACCCGTTACCATCCTCCCGGCTCAAATCCAGGGGGGCAGATCTCCCTGACGCTGCGGTCTCTCTTACAGCATGCTGCTGCTGAGGCTGGTCCTGGGAACTGAGCCCTCAACCTGCTGGCTGTGTTGGCCGCCTTGCACCCTGGAACATGGAGAAAGCCAGTGCCGAACAGCGCCACTGCTGGGCTCTAGTGACCATGAGGCCTGAGCTGCTTCTGCTGTTCCCACAGATGCGTTTCCCATAAAATCATGTGCCCACGCGTGCCTGTCTCTGAGGCTGATGTGTGAGGGGGTTGAGACTCATCGTGGGACGGAGGGACTGTGGCCTCTTTCTGCAGGCGGCTTCTGCCTCAGCTTTGGAGGCCGGGCAGGGCTGGGTCAGGCACTGAGAGGTGCGTGTGGGTGTTGCCGTCACTGGGCTGTGGGCAGGGTGTGGGTGACTCCTTCCAAGCGGGTGGCTGCAGCCCCGCTCAGGGGGCACTGGCAGCCGGGCGAGCAGCCTGACAGCTTTACGGGGTCTGAATCCTGTGTGTCCTCTTGTGAGACGGTAGTGACTCCCCCGTGGTTCAGTGTACCGTTTCGGTCCTGAAGACACTAAGGCTGTGCAGTGTGGATACTGGGCCTCCAGCTCCTCCTGCTCAGACCTGCTGCTGGGGACGGCCGTGGAGCCAAGGGCAGCTCGTCTCTGGGCAATGCAGGTCAGACACAGGGATGGTGGGAGCAGAATTGGAGATGCTACCCACATACGAGCAAGATCACTGGAGCTGGGAGCCCAGGACTGAGGCAGGCAGTTTGATACCCAGCCTTCTGGGAAAGCCAAGTGTGTCCACGTGTGTCCAGTCACTTGACTTAGGCGAGCTGGCCAGCCGGACGAGCGTGGCGCCGTCTGCTGGCTCCCAGGGGTCACCCTCCAGACCTCAGGCCAGTGGCCTCCGTCACCCCTGTGTTTTGGCTCTTCCTTTGTTCCAGTCGCATCACATACTTCGTGGCGGCTGGTAGGTTCCTGTCCCAGATGAACGATGGGCTGAGGACACGGTCTGGGCCCCACGTGGCCAGGCACAGCTACGCCACATGTGAGGTCTGCTGTCCTCTCTGCTAGGACAGAGCAGGTGACTGCTGAGGAAAAGAAAGCAAAGTGTTCATTAAAAACAGAAAACCCTCACTGCTCCCGAGAGGCCTTTTAAGGCATGGAGCGTGGTCAGTTTACACACAAGGCGGCGGCGACACCCTGGCACACTGGTGTCACCTGGCAGGCGGCTCCCACCCTCAGCAGACCCTGGTTCTTGCAGCGGGTGTCTGAGCCTGTTCCGGGGACGGCAGCCAGGATGGACTTGGAAACATGGACCGTGGTGGCAACCGACGGCGTCCACACTGACGCCTGCCAGGACAGACAGTGGGTGGCGCAGCAGGGCGTCTTCTAGGGAAGTTCTTGACGCAGGGGTAGGAGCCTGTGGCAGAGAAGAAAACAGGCCCGGCCAGAGGTGAGCTGGCCCCAAGTCCACAGAGCAGGAAGGCGACCAGCTAGGAAGGTGGGCACGAGGATCCAGGACCACATGGGGGCCTGGAGCCGTGTGGCTGGAGCCGGGCTGGGGCCTGCGTCTCACACTGACAGCACGAAAGGTGCCAGCCCAAAGCCACTGGGAGACCCACACACGATCGCAACGGACGTCAGACGGCCGTACCCCCGTCCAGGAGAGCTGAGTGGTCCGCAGACCACAGCCACACCACACCACACCTCCCAGACCTCTGCATAGCGCCAGAGCCCACGCTCCAGAGGTGGCAAGTCTCCTCGGGCCTGGGCTCCTCTGTAGAGAACACGAGGACACAGAAGCCACAGCCTCACTCTGCGGTCATTCCAGGCACACAACTACATGTGTGTTTTGTTGGGGTTTTTGGTTTTTTTAAAGCAAAGGAGATAGAACTTGGAGCTGGTGGCTCATGTCTGTGCTCCTCCTCAGGAGGCAGAGATCTGAGATCACCCAGGCAAGAAAGGACATGAGACTTTTATCTCCAATTAACCACTAAAAAGCTAGAAGTGGGGCTGTGACTGTGGCTCAGTGGTAGAGTGCTTGCCTAGCATGCATGAAGCCCTGAGGTTTATTACTCAGTGCCACATACACAGAAAAAGCCAGAAGTGGAACTGTGGCTCATGTGGTAGAGCGCTAGAAGCTCAGGGGATTGGGTGCCGGTGGCTCGCACCTATAATCCCCCTGAGTAAGGAGGCTCACGGTTCAAAGCCAGCCCAGGCAGGAAAGTCCGTGAGACTCTTATCTCTAATTAACCACTAGAAAACCAGAGGTGGCGCTGTGGCTCAAGTGGTAGAGCGCTTTCCTTCAACTGAAGAGTTCAGGGACAGCGCCCAGGCCCAGAGTTCAAGCTGAAAGAAAAAAAAAAAAAGCTGGAAGTAGAGCTGAAGTGATAGAGCACTGACTTTGAACAGAACTCAGGGACAGTGTCCAGGCTCTGAGGTCAGGACCCAGGAGTGGTTGCACACGCGCGTGCACACACACACACACACAAACCCACCCAGCAAAGGGGTAGAAATGGTCAGAGATTAGACAATAGCAAAGAGCTCTTAGTAACAGAAAATGAGAGAAGAAATAGAGAAAAAGGTCAGTGTGTAGATTGTGTACAAGTTACACACGACTATGTAGAATATAAGAGGCCATCCAAAGGAACAGCTGGAAACGAGCAAGGCTAGGAGGGGTCTCAGAACAGCGCTCTGGGCAGTTAGTGTGGCAGTCCCAGTGGATGACTGCATGGACGCAGAGCTGTGCCAGGCATGGAGGCCCGAGGAAGGAGTAAGATGGAGGTTTGGCTGAGAGAAAATGCTAAGGAACTTTGACAAAACACTAACGCATTGGTGAAGGGACCAGCCGAGTTAAGCTGAGGATCACGTTTAAAGTGAGCCCAGGTACACGTGAGACGCGGTGATTGCTACTCTTCTCAACCGTGTGGTGTCGAATGCCTGTCATTCAGCTGTGTTCATAAAGGAAGAAGTTGGGCATGGTGGTGGATCCTGTCCAGCTGTGACAGGAATAGTAAAGTAGGTGGACTGGGGTCCACGCATGGGCCCAGGCAAAAAGTAACACCACTTCAACACGACAGTTACAAAGAAGGGCTCGGGTAGAGGGGCTGCCTGGTCAGCCAAAGCCCTAAGTTCAAGTTCTAGAACCAAAAGCAAGCCCAAGCCCCAGAAGGACCCCAGGTGAAAGCCGCCTGTGTGGGTCCACATACATATACATTCTGAACGTTTCTGGCTGGGTTGGGGTCAGGGCCAGGTCCGGCTTCCCTGAGTGTCGTGGGAAGTCCAGAGCTCCCCAGAATGGCTCGAGAAAGGACAGAATAGTCTTTCAGGAGAACAGGGCTTTTCCAACTCATGGTGCCCGCCCACCCGCCTGCCTTTCCTTCCCATGGGGCTTAAACTCAGGGCCTGGGTGCTGTCCATGAGCTTTTTCACTCTACTTCTTTGAACCACAGCTTTACCTCCATTTTTCTGTTGGTTAATTAAAGAGCCTTGGATTTTCCTGCACAGCTGGCTCTGAACTGTGATCCTCAGATCTTGGCCTCTCCCAAGTAGCTAGGATGACAGGCGTGAGCCACCGGCACCCGGCTCATGGTGTTTTCTTAATTCTTTGCATTGTAGCATGCTTAGCAGCGTCCTGGACACTCAGAAGTATCCAGACATTACCAGATGTGTCCTGGTGCACACCTGTCCTCAGCTAAAAACCACAGAGGGGAAGATCCCGTTAGTCTCACTGACAAGATGCTAAACAAAGAGAGCAGTAAAGACTATGTGAACAAAAAGCATGGTAGCTAAATGTGGCCCCTTGGTATGTGGAACTCCTTCCGGTGGACAGACACGGCAGGAAGGCGTCTCATGTCCTATGTTCTAAGGCGAGAGAGTCCAGCCATGAGTGTGGCTAGGTACAGCTGCCGACCTGCCAAGGGCCATCCTGAGCGGGGCCAGTGTGCACTAGAGAAGAGGCCTAACAGACACAGACACCACCGGAGCCTGACAGCAAAAGCGGGGCAATGCCACTGCGAATTTACAACAATGGCAGTAAGTGTGTTCGCACACTTGGAACGTCCCCATTAAAGAGCACGATTTCAGGTCCAGGAGTGACTTGGAAGGTAGACAGTGGGAAGATGACAAGTTCTGAGACCAGCCCAGGCAAAAAATGCAAGGCTCTATGAGAGAAAAATAAGAAAGCAAAAAGGGCTGGGGTATGGTTCAAGCAGTAGAGCACTTGCTTAGCAAATATGAAGCCCTGAGTTCAAATCCCAATACTCAAGGGGAAAAGAAAAGTAAAGGGTAAATTTTGGCTCAGAAATGCACACAAAATGCACAAAGTAAGACAGCTGAGAAAATAGACCTTTCGCAGCTGGCAAAACCACATACAGCCTTCGATGTAGGAGAGGCCTATTGCACATGTTTGAGAAGCTCCGGCAGTGCTGGTAAAGAGGAGCTGCCTGGATGCGGCGGGGAGCGGGGGGACGGGACAGTGCCCTCCCGGACCTGCCACAGCCGTGGCGGGCACCCAGGGTGGCTGGGCAGTGGCACACACCTGGGAGGATCTGTATGAGGAGACTGTGGTTTCAATAAGTAAGCAAACAAAGCAGCTGGTACAGTGGAACATTCAGGAGGTAGAGACAGGAAGATCATGGTTCAAGGCCAGCCTGAAACTCTGAAAAACCAAGCAAAAGACCCAGCTGGTAACGCACTTGTCTAGTGAGCCCATGGCCCGGCTAGCTCACTGGCCCGTGCACATCATGGAAACTACCAAGGACGAGTTGGAAATGAAGAAAAGCTTGGTCTAATGGATATTTCTAGAACATAGAACCCACATTTTGTAACACAGACTTTGTTTTTTTGGTTGTGGGTCTTGAACTCTGGGCCTGGGCGCTGACCCTCTGCTCTTCAGCTCAAGGCGAGCGTTGTACCACTTGAGCCACAGCGCCACTTCCGGGTTTCTGGTGGTTTATTGGAGATAAGAGTCTCACGGACTTTCTTGCCTGGGCTGGCTTTGAACCGCAGTCCTTAGACCTCAGCCTCCTGAGTAGCTTGGATGACAGGCGTGAGCCACCGGTGCCCGGCAATAACACAGACTTTTAAAAAGTAGAACTGTAGTACAAACAGCGCATGATGCAATGTAGAAGTCTGGTGAAGCACAGGCCGGGCGTCCATCCGAGGGGTGCCGGAGGGACTCGGACACTGAACGTATAAAAGAAGGGCTGAGCATGTGGAGCATGCAGGGAGAGGCCAAGGGAAGCAGAAAGACAGTGTTGTTGCTGAGACGCAAGTGACAGCTGCGAGACCCACCTGGGGTGGCCGCTGCCTGACTCAGCTGAAGTGGAGGAAGTCCCGGCCTTCCTGCAGGTGCAGTGACTTCAGGTTGTCCTCAAACGCGCCCCCAGTGAGATCCTGTTGGGGAGATCAAGTTGCTTCCTGGGGCTCCTGCAGGGGCTACAGTGAGGGCTTGGGTTTGGGGTCACCTGTGCCTGTCACGTACACTGAACTTGGTTCCTGTTAATAGGAGACGGGCCAGAGGCGGCGTGTTGCTGCTGATACTAGGTTCTAGCATGGACACTGGCGGGGGCCGGGGATGCCTGGGCTGGCAGCGGCCTCCAAACAAGACAGCTGACGGCCCCACCAGCTGTTTGGGGCTGACCTGCGCTCCTCCCCTATTTCTGGGGCCCCCTTTCCGCTGTCCCACCTGTCCCACAGCAGAGCAAGTGCTGTGACCCTGGGGCCCCACACACTTGTCCTGTGCATGGCAATTCCAGCAGGTTTAACCAGAGAGGACGTAGCTCTGGAAGGAAAAGCTGAGCAATGGTGGACAGGCGTCCTGGCCAGACCTGGCCTTGCCCTCGTCACCACTGCTGTCTCCAGTGAACTGTGGCCAGAAACTCGTGGGAGAAAGCTATTCTGTCCACCGGCTCACACCTCACCTCCCCAACCCACCTGGAGAGGACACTGGGCGGGGCACCGTCTTAAACGAGACTGGATGAAATGGTAGCCACCAAATGGAGGCATCTGTGAGACTCAAAGCCAAGATGGAGTGGCATCCAGAGGGGCAGAGAACTTTCCAGAAGACAGTCTAGTAGACAAGGAGAGCCTGACTCAGAGTCACACACAGAGGTGGGAGGGGGTGGGAGTGAGCTGAGGGTCCGGCCTGTGGCCCCCAGGGAGGAGCTTCTGCCGAGGGCATGGCTGTTAGACACTTGCCCCTCCCGCAGCAGGCACTTCCTCTCGGGAGCGGGGGCAGGCCTGGTCCCTGACACTGAGTCAGACGTGCTGAGCCATGAGCCTGACACCACTTCCCACTGTGTGGTCAGGGAGGTGGGTGTGCCTTGTGCTGTGATGACCGCCAAAAGCCAGCCTGCGAAGGTGGGTGCTGTGTCTCCCTGCCGCATGGGGCCCCTTCCCGGGCAGCGCTCTCAGTGAGCCCTCTGCCCTCGGACGACACCGCGATCCAGAACAGCAAGGGCGGTGGGCTCACACACGGCTCGGGGGTTCATGTCCCTGCTCTAACAAAACTATCTGCAAAACAGGCGGAGGGCCAGACCTGAGCTGTGGGCCACGTTCTGCACTGTTATGGTTCACAACCAATTTAAAAGACAGAGGCCAGGCACCGGTGGCTCATGCCTATAATCCTAGCTACTCAGGAGGCTGAGATCTGAAAATCTCAGTTCAAAGCCAGCCCAGGCAGGAAAGTCCGTGAGACTCATCTCCAATAAAACCAGAAGTGGCACTGTGGCTCAAGTGGTAGAGCGCTCACCTTGAGCTGAAGAGCGCAGGGACAGCGCCCAGGCCCAGAGTTCAAGCCCCATGACCGAAAAGAAAAAAAGAGAAAGAGTTCTAGACTAAGGCAGATCAGCCTGCTGCCATGGCACGGCCCTCAGTGAATCACGATGCTGACACATGAGGTACAGGACTGGTCCAGACCAGAGTCCATGACAGACCTCGTACCCGGCCAGCACAGAGTGGTGATGTTCCTTATCAGAAAAGCAGTTTCTCAGTAGGTGAGGTTGGGACAATTTGATGTCTAAATGGAAGGGGAAAATTTTGGCTCCAATGCAAAAAACATTTTGCATTAACAAACGAGGTTAAGTGTGGAAAAGAACTTCCTACATAGGACACTAAAATGACATTATAAAAGCAGCAGCTGCTGCACTAGAGACACATCTGCATGTAATCCTAGCTATTCAGGAGGCTGAGAGCAGAGAATCAGGCAGGCGAGTCCATCAGACTCTATTTCCAAGTAGCCACCGGAAAAGTAGGAAGTAGAGCTGTGGCTTAACTGGTAAAGTGCTAGCATAGGCCCTTAGTTCAAGCCCTGAACTGGAACAAAAAGAAGTCTGCAAAGAGCAGAGTACCCAGGAAGCTGGGTCTGCCACACCTGACCTACTTGTGGACCTGTGTGCAGAGCAGACTAACAACTACACGTCAGAGCAGGGTCAGGAGCCAACAGCAACTGCCTGTGGCCAGAGGCGTGCTGCCGCTGTGTCGTGGAGCCCAGGGCCTGGGGACCAGGACCCCCGGGAGCCTACCCAGGCAGCAACAGCTGGGCTGTATGTCCCACGTCCATAGCTGAGCAGCTGGAGCCGTGCCCCAGGGACAGAGTCAGGGAGGAGGACGCCCAAGCCTGCCATCCAGGAGCCCGGCAGCCGTATCCAACACTCACCAGCTTCACACAGATGACAAAGGGTGGCCGTGCATCCCGGAAGTGCAGGATGGGGATCTGAGGCTTGGGCCTTTCCTGGAAGATGTGCCAGCCAGGGTCACTCAGGCGCCTCATGATAGAGGGTCCCCGAAGCACTCAAGGTGGAGGATGGGGGTCTTGAGCGATCTTACAGAACCACTGGTGGTTCTGACAGGACACCCAGCCCTGTGAGTCACACACGCAAGTCTTCCACAGCACGGAACCCTCCGGGAGTGGTGAGCCCACACACCTGTGCCTCCTCGTAGCAGTAGAAGCCCTTCTGGATCTTGTTCTTGTCCACGTCACAGAAGGCGGCCACCTGAGTGAGCAAGGCCAGCAGCTCCAGGGCCTGTTCTGTGCTGCCGGGGAGGGCGGGGAAGGACAGGCTCACCTTGCGCTGGTTGGCAGCAGTCAGACTGCGGTACAGCCTGCGTCCCTGCTTGCCTGCATTCCAGATGGTGAAGGAGGCCCAGCGAGGTAGGGCCTGCTCCTCCAGGAAGTGGACGCGGTGAGTCCAGATGGTCGTCCTGCAGCAGAGAAAGGACAGCTGGTGCCAGCCAGGCCTTCTAGGGTCAAGGCTGCCTCTTGGACCTGGGGACACACAGAGGTACGGCTCATGCCTACTACTGAGGCTCACCTGGCTGGTTTGGGGTGGACATCAGACCTGACACAATGTCAGGCTCCCTGACAAAGCCAGAAACCTCCCGGTGAACCCCATGCAAAGAGTGAAGCCCTGGGGTACTGGGCGGGTGTGTTCTCCACATGGAATGCCCGCTCTGTCCTGGAGACTGAGGCCTGAAGGAGGGCCTCCCTCCCCACGCTGCGCCCTGTGCACAGTGGCTCCAGTGCGTGTCTCCTCTCTACCTGATGTGATCAGGTACACAGGAAAGGCCCAGCTTCTCTGTCATGGTGAATCACAAGCTTAAGAAGGATCAGTGTGCCGTTGGCCAAACCCAGTCCAGTTTCCCAGAGAAGTCCCTGTGTGGGGGAGGAGCCATACCCCTGCCCCACCGCTCGAAGTCTCATCTCACGCCCATCTCAGGGTCCCTGCCCAAAATAGGCTGTGATCCCCTAGGGCCACTTCAGAGATGTCCCCTTCCTTGGAACATGTCTGCTTGCCTGGGTGGGCAAGCTCCCCCCACCCTGCCCCCTCCCCCCAGCAGGGCCATGAGCATGGCTCTCCTGGACAGGACTCCTTCCCATGTCCTGGGGCCCCTTCCAGCCTTCTGACCCAGTGCGAAGCCAGCCCCTTCCGGCCCTGTTCACTGCCTTGGGCCCAGCACTAGTCCCTGGCTGGTGTCACGCATGCCCTTGGGGTGTGCCACACCGTACCCATGCAGGGCCCCGGACATGCTCCTGTGCTGATCCTTGTACTCACATCAGGCACTGGCATGCAGAGTTAGGGCTGTGCTGGGCTGCAGGCACAGTGCAGGGAGGTGAGCAGCGTGTTAAGCTGGGCTGTGGCTCTCTCAAGTCTCACTTCTGGGAGAACTGGACATGCGGGACACACTTTAGTCCCTATAAAATACCCTCTGCACAGCCATGTGTGCACAGCTTCCTCCTACCAGGGAGGTGGGACCTTTCACAGGTAAGAGAGCCTGAGCCTCACAGTTCAGGTCTAATGGGTGAAATCTTTCACAAGGAAAGAATCAGCTCCCAACAAGAAAGGGCTACCCTTTTACGCTATATTGGGGGTCCAGCCCAGGAATGCCTATTTGCTAAGCAAGTGCTATACCACTTGAGCCACACCCAGGACTAAGAAGGACACCTTTCCTGCAGAGATGGTTCTAGAGGTACCCCAGTGTGAGGAATAAAAGGCAGCTGGGAGGTCAACGGCAAGCAGATGACCAGAGGGTGCGCTAGCGCCCCAGACCTGCGTCAGCCAAGAGCACAGGACAAGCGTGTCTGCAGCTGGACTCTGATAGGAAGGTGAGAGTTCTAGGCAAAGCAGAGCGTGTGGGACCCTCACACAAATGCCTTCTATGTTCATGTGCACTGTGCACAGTGTGTTTAGTGTGACGCATGTACATGCACATGTGTGCTATGCATGCGTTGCAGCATATGTATGTGGAGCATATTTGTGTGCAGGTGTGTGCACATCTGTGCAAGAGTAGCTCTGACACTCAGATGATTTGTTTCTGACCTATCCACACGGAGCGGAGTCCCTTAGTTATCCCTGTGGAGGGAAAGTCCTGATTTAATCTTGCTCTACCCTGCCAATAAAAACCATGTGGTGGGTTGTGGTCGAAAGGTGGAGGAAGGCAGGTCACAGAGACCCGCCCCGATGGCTGCGATGCCTGGGCAGCCTGTGTGGTGCTGGGAGCCTGTGTGGTGCTGGGCAGCCTGTGTGGTGCTGGGCAGCCTGTGTGCCTGGGGAGCCTGTGTGGTGCTGGGCAGCCTGTGTGGTGCTGGGCAGCCTGTGTGGTGCTGGG